GGCAAGATTTGATATAAAAGATGTGGGTTTTGACTTTAGAGGAGATAAGTTCTACAAAGAAAATAAAGCATAATGATTTTTTGTAAAAACACAAAATGGATTCCATCTTGAAAAATCTCACATGGGAGCTATAACCTCAAACATTTCATGGCATGTTCACTTCATTTGAAAGGGCTCAATGTAAAGAGGCAATTAAAAGTGATATGAAATCCAGTTTAGAAAAGCACACATGAAAGTATGGATCACACAAGAAACCAAGGTTTGCAAACTTGTGAAGTCTTTATATGGGCTGGAATAAGACTAAGAACCATAACAACAAGTTTTTGACCATATGATGTTGGAATGTGGATACAATATTAACAAATGTAAGAGATGTGCTTATGCTACAAAAATAATCGATGGTTATGTTATTTTATGCCTTTATGATGATGATATGTTTGTTGTTGGTAGCAACAATAAAATGATCCAATCAACTAAGAACATGCTAAAGGAAAGATTTGATATAAAAGATAGGGGTTTCTAGGAGAGAAGTTCTAAAGCATAATCAATATATACATAAACGCAAAATGGATCCCATATTGAAAAAATCACACCTGAGAGCTAGAACCTCAAGCATTTCATGAGACATTCACTTCATATGAAAGAGCTCATTGGAATGAGGCAACTAAAAGTGATATCAAATCCATTCTAAAGAATCACACATGAGAGTAGGGATCAGATAAGAAACCAAGATTTTCAAACTTGTAAAGTCTTTATATAGGTTGAAATAAGACTCAAAACGATAACAACAACATTTTGAACATGTGATGTTGGAATGTGGATACAATATTAACAAATGTGAGAAGTGCGTGTTGGAATGTGGATATAATATTAACAAATGTGAGAAGTGCGTTTGTGTTAAAAAAAGTAATCGATGATTATGTTATTTTATGCCTTTATGTTGATGATATGATTGTTATTAGTAGCAATGATAAAATGATCCAATCAAGTAAGAACATGCTAAAGGCAAGATCTGATATAAAAGATGTAGGTTTAGAGGATAGAAGTTCTACAAAGATAGTAAAGCATAATGAATCTTTACATAAACACAAAATGGATGTCATCTTGAAAATCATACATGGGAGCTAGAACCTCAAACATTTCGTGAGGCATTAATTTCATTTGAATGAGCTCATTGGATAGACACAATTGAAAATGATATGAAATCCATTTTAAAAAATAACACATGAGAGTAGGAATCAGACAAGAAACCAAGGTTTGCGAACTCGTGAAGTCTTTATATGGGTTAAAATCAGACCAATAACAACAAAATTTTGAACATGTGACGGCGGAATGTGTAACGACCTAATTTTCAAAAGAAAATTTTCATTTTTAAATAGTCAAAACATTTCCAATAAACCACAAATTTCATGAAAAATAGTTTTCAAATTCATAACATCAATAATTTTTATTTCAATTATCATAGTGTCCCATTAAATCAAATATCGGAGAGAGAGTGCATGCCACGCCATCAAGGCTTGCCCTTTCCCTTAGGCTTAGATGTACCTGAAACAAATCCACAAACTGTAAGCTAAATCTTAGTGAGTTCCCCAGAGCATACCCCACACAATCCACATAATCACATAATCATATTAGCTATAAAAGCTACATAAACCACATAAGCCATGCATACAACATATAGGGATGTCGTGGGCTCGTCCCCAGGGTCTTACTCTAGGATGACATGGGCTCCCCACATGGTCTTACACCTAAGTGACATGGGCTCCCCCATGGTCTTTAATAGGAAATCCATGGGCTCTCCACATGGTCTTACATCCAGGTGTCATGGGCTCTCCACATTGTCTTTAATAGGAAAGCCATGGGCTCTCCACATGGTCTTACATCCAAGTGTCATGGGCTCTCCCATGGTCTTCCATACAATCAGACCACATATAAAACTAGCATACTTCCTAGCACATGACCAGTTAACATGTCACATAACACTACTTCAACTAGTGTACCACATGTCATAAAATGGGTCGGTCTTGGTGCCTTTGACCCATTGGTATGGTGACCTCTCAAGAATGCTGAACTGATAAGATAGAATCAGATAAGTCCCAACGCGTAGCTCCAAATCAACTGCATATAACCATCATGTAATTAACTTGTCAAAATCTCGAAATACCATAAATACCTTTAAAGTCAAACTTGGTCAACCCTGGTCAAAGTCCAAGTCAACAGTCAAGGTCAACAGTCCATATTGACCCCAACTCGTCGAGTGCATCTAGCAACTCGTCGAGTTCCTTCAGAGTCCAGAAAACCGGGACAAACCCTAGCCAACTCGCCGAGTTATCCCATCAACTCGATGAGTTCACTCAACATCCAGAAGACAGGGAAACCCGATCCAACTCGTCGAGTTGCCAAAGCAACTCGTCGAGTCCCCCCCCCCATTTGCTTCCTTATTCCGATGATACGTCGATTGCAGGGACTCTAGGGCTTAGATCTGAAACCTAAAGGTGTCTAGAAGGATAAAGTTTCCAACTTCATCCTCTGGAACCACTCCAAATGCTCTAGAGCTCTTAATGAAGGTTGGAAAGCTCAAAAGTTTCACCATGTGGTTCAAGACTTTAGGGATCTGGAATCCTTCCTTTCTAGAAGAGGTTTTATCCCTCAAAACGTTCCAAAGATAGAGGCTTTATGGAAATGCATGTCCAATGCATGTCTTGAAGTCAAAAATGACCAAAAAGAGAAAATATACTCTCAGATCCATGCATGGCATCCATGCTTGACCAAAAGCTAGATCTAGCCCACCATGGGACCATTTTGCCTTGGAGATTCATAAAGTTGCAAACTTTATGAACCTCATGCATGCAATCAACAAGAATGATGGTAAATGAAGAGTAAACTCAAGATCTAGTCATATTCTAAGATAAAAATCGAATCTTGAATGCTTACAATAGTCCACAAGATGGTCAAGCTCAAGAGTCAAGGCTTTGTTTGCTGGATCTCCTCCTTCTCCTCACTATCTTCTTAATCTAAGCTCCAAAAGTCACTCTTGCTCACAATATGAAAGAAAATGGGGACTAGGGTTTAGCACAGGCGTTCTTAGGGTTTGGAGGCTGGTGAAAGGTCATCCTCAAGGTTTTAAGGAGATTATATAGGGTGCAAACCCTAAAATTTAGGGTTTTCCTTTACAGCACCTACTCGTGGAGTCGGGCCTTCCAACTCGTCGAGTGTGTCCTAAATCCCGCGTCCCATAAATGATCTCTACTCTGCGAGTTGGGACTCCCCAACTCGTCGAGTCCCAGTCTAAAACCCTAAAATTCTAGAAAGAATTTGATACCTGAAACAAGCGTTACAGAATGTAGATACAATATTAACAAATGTTAGAAGTGTGTTTATGTTAAAAAAAATCGATGGCTATGTTATTTTATGTCTTTATGTTGATGATATGCATGTTGTTGGTAGCAACAATAAAATGATCTAATGAACTAAAAACATGCTAAAGTCAAGATTTAATATAAAATATGTACGTTTAGCCAACATGATCCTTGAACTTAAGATCACAAGGACCCAAAATAGATTTAACATAAATCAAAGCCATTATGTGGACAAATTATTAAGAATATCAGTTTTGGTGATTCTAATATAGCTAGAACACCAATTGATACAAGTCATCATCCGAATAATAATAAAAGTGGAGGAGTTACACTAGTAGAATACTCAAGAATTATTGGTAGTGTAATGTACCTTAGCTTTTGCAATAAGTAGACTAAGTAGATATACGTGTAATTATGTGGTGAGCATTGGAAGACTATTACGATACTTCAATTATACTTTGTACTTATAGATTGTAGTATATAAGATATCTAGAAGTAATCGAAAGGTATTGTGATACACATTGGATATGTCTAATATAAAAGATTAGAAGTCAACTAGTAGGTTTAAGCTCACACCTAGTGGGAGAGCTATATCATGGAGATCCTCTAAACAAACAATTATAAGTAGAGCCGACATGAAATCTAAGTTTATAGCACTTGATAAAAGTAATGAAAAAGTTAAGTGGCTATGTCAATTCTTGGAAGATATTATAAGATGGCCTAAAATAATTTCTATAATCTCTATACATTACGCTACCAGTGATTAATGATTGGACGAACATAGATTTCTATACTTGAAGATGTTAACGGGACTAAGCGGAGGCAGAAATAATCTCCTGAAATCCCGCCCCGTTGACACTGTTTAACTTTCTTTACCTTATTTTCACTTATTTATTTGGTTTAATCTTACAGATTACACTAATTATTCAAATAAAAAACATATATTACATAATGGTTATTTTAAATTGGATACTTTTTCTATAAACAAAAATGTTAAATATATTGTAATTATTTGTGTGTGTGTGTTGGGAGGGGGGGGGGGATTCCGTATTCAACACGAAGCTCCCTGTCCCCAAAAATTAAAACGAGGGTAAAACATTATCCCATCCCTGAACTCGAAAACATTATAAAAATATCCCCATAAGGAAATGGGGTTCCACAGGTCTATGTCTCACGGGGTTTTCGACACCTAGACATATAATGGTAAGTCTACACATATGTAGGAGACACAATACCATTAGATAAATACTCTCTAGTGTCGTTATCTCTAGTGACTATATAATGATTTGTTTCCTTTTTGGAATGATGCAATCATGTTCGAATCCAATGCACACATTCATATTTAACAAACTAATTATATTACTCTATCCACATAGAATATAGATAGAATTATAACTCAAACATCCAAAACTCATGTGTTATAAAAGGGTTAATCACTAAAATGACCAAAATGGGAGGGTGTCAAAAACACAAAACAATCACCTTTTAAGAAGAAAAAAAAATCTGATATTTCGCAAAGGTGTTCATTTTGTGTTTTGACTCGTCCCAATTTGGTCAATGTAGTGATTGACCCTTCTATAATTCTAAAAACTTGGATGCTCACGAACGATACCATAAGCAAATGAACTTGCAACATATTTCCTAAATTAGACTCTTAAATGAACCAAGACGAATAAGTTTTGCATCTATTTCTAGTTCTACAAACCACCATATCGAATTCTCTACCGAAAAATCTAAAACCTGAAATCCCCATGTCTACACAAACCCTAACGAAAATACCTCGAATCTTACAAATACGATAAAAATACGGAAAAATTGACATCAACAAGTCCAGGAGGATGATCTTTTCACAACGGGTTTCATCATCTGTCTGTCTTCTTCAAGTGATATCATACCTAAATGTGAAGGATCTTCAAGCATCATTTTGGCCACCAAATAACCAGCAACTGACCATGTTTGATGCTTTCGAGCCTGTTTTCCAACATATCGGCCACTCTTTCCATCATAATATTCCGGCCAACCGTCTTTCGCCAGCCGGAGCTCCGCCACCTCAATGGCCCGCCTTGCAATTTGGGGGCGGCCCACCTTGATACATGCTGCCGTGAGCAACCATAAGAGGACTGCACCCAAAAAAAATTCATCAGAAGATTTATATTTTTTTACTCAAAATAGCAACGTACTTTCATTTTTATCAATTTTTTTACTCAAAACAGCAATGTATTTATATTTTGATACCTTTATGAGTACATTGTTAATTATGTGTAATAAAGAAATGTAAAAATTGGTTACATTATGGGTAAAAAAACTATAAGTGTGTTGTTATTGTGAGTTACAAATTGCTATTATTGGTAATAAAAAAAAAAAAAAAAAAAAAAAAAAGATATAAGTATGTTATTATTATGGGTAAAGAAATGTAATTACATTGCTAAAAAATTGTGTAGTGCCTACATTGGTAAAAGGACTAAAGTACATTGCTACTTTACGCAAATTAACATTAAGATTTTCATTTTAGAAAAAAAAATCATGAGTATATGAGTTTGGAAGGTGAGATATCATTAAAAAAAATAGATAATGTAGTTTAGGAATAATTTTTGTAGCTAAAAGACTAAAATATGAGCATCAATCCAACAATTTAAATTACTAGCTTTGACTTCCAGAAGTCAAACACAGAGAAAGTACTATTCCAAGGGCAACATACAGAAAATCAGTTGTACTTTCACCATTTTATCAGTTTAAGTATTTAACTGTTTTCTATGGAGATTAATAAGGCTTAATTTCATATTAAGGTAAACCAACTACTTCCATTTTGATCACTAGCTCACACATTTATCTAATTGTACACACCAAATCAATAAACTTTAAACCCACTCATTTGATTTGATTTGTACAATTAGAAGATGAGTGACCTAACAATTAATAATAAGATAACATTTCAATCACTAAATCAATAAAACAGTAAACAAAAACACATAAACAAGACAATTTCTACAACATACCTGGCCAAGATCCACCATTATGGTAACTCCATCTTGTGTTCTTTGGATCACATCCTGTAATAATCCTCCAATCATGGCTTTCAATGGCTGGATAACAAACTTTCAAAGGCATATCTCCAACCAACTCTTCCCATCTTGCTTCAATAAGATCCATAATTGCCATTGATTGTTCTGGAGTTGCTAAAGATGAAAGAATAGCAATGCAATTCCCCAAACAAAACCACCTGAAATCCATGTTTGAGGGCCCCACATTTCCAAGAAAGTATCCTCCAAAAGTTGGCATGAAGTCAAAAACCCATTCAGGAAGTGAATCAGGTATCACATTAAACTTATTAACTGCAGTGTGAGAATACTCTTCGGTTTTGTAACGATAAATGTCATTTAGTTGCTTTAAATCCAACCAAAAATAGCTTCTCATGTGAAAACTCAAGGCATGAAGACGTTTTGTGATTCGATCAATAAGTTCTTTTCCTTGAGCATCTTGTTTGAGTAAAACTAAAGCACATCTTAATGCCATGAAGAAAAGAGCTTGTATTTCTATTGGGTATCCATATACACCCTGTGTATAAAAGAAAAATATGTTAACTTTTTATCAATTTAACCATTTTTGTAGTGATTAAACCATTATATATATATTTTTTTTCACCATTTAAAATAACCACATGATTTTGGAAAAAGGGAAAAGTACAAAAGACGATAATGTACATTCACTATTTTATTTATTTAACCACACTTAACTATCATCTCTAGTGAATTATACCTTTTTGACTATTTACAAAAATCATAATTAGTATTACACGGTTTTCAAAAAAATACAAGGTATACTTTCACTTTTTTTAAATTTAACCATTGAATCAATGGCTAAATCAATAAAATGATGAAAGTACATTATGCTTTTTTGTACTTTGCCATGATATGACAACCACATAATGAGAAAACAGTTCTTTAGCCTCTCAAAAAATGTACAATGATTAAAGTACAACCTTAGATATATAAAAGTGAATATGCTTAAGTTTTTAACATACTTAATAAGACAAAAAATAAAAAGTTGAAAATATTTACAAACTCACCATTCTTCGATCAATCATGGAGCATCCATCAGCACAAAGAAGAGTAGGAAAAGTATCAAAACCTTCTGAAAGGCATAATGCAAGAATCAACCTCATACCCTTTTGGCAATCAGGTGTTTCAGCTAAAGAACTATCTCCAGTTGATTTTGTATAAGCTCTAAGCAATATGATCCACCAAAACCCTGAGTCAACCGGGGCAACTCGGCCTATTGCACTCTCACCAAAATCCGCCATTAAAGTCTCTGTGTTGCGAATCGGATCATGAAGAACTTTGAAACTTGCAGGCATGACACCTTCCCCTAGTTGAAATCTATCGATTTTTTTCTCCCATGATTGAAGGCGAAGAGTCTTTAGAAGAAAGTTTTTGACAATTTCAGGTTCCCCATTCATCAAGAAAGCTAATGCACTTGGAACAAAATCTCTCACAAAAACCTATCCAAGAAAGATATTCACAACATGGGGATTTAAAAAGTGGCAAAACAGATAAAAGAAACATTGTCCTACTTTCACATTATTCATTGGCATACCGATTTTTTAATCTTATACTTATACTTTTATAATTATATCAACTACATCCAAGTTTAAGCAAAATTATCTAAACATGAGTCCTCAATATCACTTGAAGTGTTAACTTTCAGTTTCTCACATTGTTCTTTCCCTTTTCCTATTGTCCTAAATTGTCACAAAAGGGTAAAATTGTCATTTTTATCATTCAACACAACAATTCAAAGGTTCTAACCAAACAGCATGCTAAAAATTCAGACCCTGTTAGAAATTCAGACCTCTTAAAAATTCAAATCTTAACAATTCAAGTCCTGCTTTTTTTAGTTCACCACCGACACCGACACCGACACCGACACCGACACCGACACCGAAAATTGAATTTTTTTTGTCAAAACCAAAAAGATTGAACAAAACAAGGTCGGAGAGGGACGTGTCCTTGACCTCTCACCTGTGCAAAAGACAAAAACGCCCTCCTCATCCTCAACACCAAAAAAAAGCCATAAAAAGTTTGTCAAGTCTCATCCTGTGTAACAAATACAACCCTAAGGTCTTGATTTAAGCTAATTCATTCCCTATAACACCCTGCAAGATTTCCTTAAACTAACTATCATGAAGAACAACAACATACCTGATCATAATTTAATTTCTCATCAGAATTATCAAGAGCTGCAATAGTCCCAACTGGTCTACCACGAAAGTACACCATGGTCTTCCTCAAAGACTCCCAAGCTTCAGCAAACATTGGGTGTGGTTCAAACCCATAAAGTGATCTTGGTGTATTGAAGGATGATCTTCTACTTGGTGAAAAAACACTCTCATTGTCTATATGTCTTTGCCCATTTTCTGCCCATGGTGTGTATCGAGGTGATGCTTCAACAAGTGATCTCTCATCAAAAGATCTTTGTCTCTCCATATTCAAGTTTCTTGGCTTATGTGGCAGCTTTGAGAAATCAAAATCATTTTCACAATCACCACTTTTGACATTATCGTTGTTTTGCGCCAAATCAACTGACGCTGTAGACATTCTTGGATGTGATAATGATCTTGAAAAGTTCACTTATCTGCATTTTGGTTGAGGCATTTTATCAAACACTTTGAGTATGAAAAAGTTTGAATGTTGTTAACTACTACAAGGTGAAAAGTTAAGAGGATAGTATGATGAAATGTGTGACATGCCTAACTTTCAAGTTTCTCCAAAAGGGTTATTTGACGATGCTTTCAAATTGTAAGTTGAAAACACATCAAGATTCAAGATATCATTCGATTTTTACTAAAGAAAAGACATTTCATCGAACACATTGTGTAACTGAACGTTTTTGAATTAGTACACAAAAAAGTTGACACTACCACAAACCATTAAAAATGAAACTCGTATGATGTTCACATAATAACTTGGAAATACATTGAAATTAAAGACTTGTTTGTTTGATCGTATTCACAAATTGCAGAAGCATTTCATCACTCATGTTGATGACAAAAAGTATAACATCTAAATTACTCTACAGCAAAGATTGCAGTACTGCATACACTTAAATGCATAACATGCCTCAAAGTCTACTTAAAAACTTGGAAATACATCAAGATTTGTTGTGGGTTTCAATTATTTATGCGTAAAACTCAGTGTACAATCATAGATTTAGAACCCTCAAATTCATTATTACAAGTACTTTTACTATCCTATAGTTAGATAAACACACAATCTTAAATGGGCCCCCAAAAAAATGGTACATTTAGGGTTCTTTCAGAGTCAAGTATTGCCAGCGTATAACCAAATTAGCTCACAGTACCACTGATAACTGAATGCATAGTACTGAAAATAAATCACGATTCAACACCCATACCATTTAATTTATGTGAAGATACTATAATTAAAATTAATCATGAGGAAAGAATTGTTTCGATTAATGGCAGTTGAAGAAATAGAATTCCTATGAATTACGAAAACATCCGAATCAAGGAAAACAATCCCAACAAAACCCAGATCGAGAAACTTCGAATCCATCAAAATTAACATCAAAAAAGGAGAAATTTGTTGGATTCTTGATCAAAATTGACATTAATGCCGTTCTAAAAAACGTAACACTAACAGAGATCGGATGAAGAAGAATGACAAAACACAATCCAGAGTGGGAAGCTTCAAATTCATCAAAATTAACGTCAAAAACAAAAGAAGATTATTGATAATTCGATCATATGAAACACGAACGAGTACTGTACAAGTGACTAATGCATTCCGTCCAAAACCCTTAACCCTCGCCGACTTGTTGAAGAAATGAACTTATAATCGATCAACAAAGAATCGAACGTAGAAAAAAGAAACGCATAACAAAACACAAAATCCAGATCAGGAAACTTTAAATCCATTAAAATCAACGTCTAAAAGAGAAAATTATGGAAAATTTGATCAAAATTGTACATAAATGAGTAAACATACTAGTGACTAATGCATTCCGATCAAAACCTTCCGTCCGACATGCTTTTGAAGAATCGGACTTACAATCGATCAACAGAAACTAACGAAAAATAAACGCATGACAGCACACACAGTCCGGATCGGATAATTCAAATCCATAACAAAAACCCACGTCGTAAAAGAGAAAATCAATCGGATAGAGAGCTGAAACTTACTATAAAGCGCGAGAGACAGAGACCAACAGATGATTCTCAATTCTACACAAAATGTGCAGTTCGGTCACGTCAGACGGTGAATCCGATGTGTAAATAGACATTCATACATGAGAACAGGCTGAATAGCTACAAAAATTTGTACGTATATAAAGGTGGAGCACAGCAGGGCTGAAAGATTGAAGGGGGAATCTCCACGAGATTCCTATGTGTAGAGTGGGGTTTTAGGGGTGTGAATGGCTGATGGGGAGCATGGGGAGTCACGAAAGTGGTTGTGGGGCTTACAAAAGAGAAGAGAAAGAGGCCAAGAAGTACAAGAACAAAAATGGCGATGGCTCAGAGTCTGTGTGTAGCTGAGAATTGTCATGGAATGCACGTGTTGATGCGTCATCATTATAAACCCAAAAAGATACAAAAATCCTACCCCGGCCCCATCTATACATCAAGATTTGGTTTAACTTTTCTTATTTTATAAAAATAAAAATATTTATAAAATGAACATTAAAATATCTAAATGGTAAAAAATTTAAAATTTAAATTGATTAAAAATATTATCTTATTTGTATGGTGTAATCCAAAAGCTCCGGTAGTTGTGAATAGAAATGTAAATGATTAATATATTACAATTTGGTGCATAATTTATACATTGTTATATATTTTTATCAAGCGTCATCATGTGCCTCATACATTTAGGAATATTATAATGAATGTCATATATTTTGTTATAGAACCACCATCCATATTATAACACTAACCGATAGGGTCATGTGAACATAGGATCATGTGAACATAAACCTGATCTTTGGAATAATTCTATCACATGTATACGTATCAATACGATTAAAATCAAGAAATTACTAAATGTAACACTATCAACACTCTTAGATTTTGGGTCTAAAAAAATCAATATTCACTTGGATAATTTTAGAAACGTGATTGCAACACTTTCTAAAATCTATGATTTCGACCCTATAGTCTAGGGTACAACGAAATCTGATTTGAGATAATCCAATAATAACATTTTAGAATTCAGGCTACTTCCAAATTCGAAACACAGAAAATTACCTTGCTGTTTTGCATTTTTAGTTAGACAAATAGATGCAAAGAATCAATTTCGGGTATCAAAGCTGTTAACCATTTTCTAGAACATTCATCTTCAAGGAATAAGGTGGTTAAAAGTGGTTACACACCAAATTGGGGCCAAAATTAGTTGGTTGAATGGTGGTTATAGGACAAAACTGATTCTTACATCATCATGATGTTATAAACTGTTGTTAGTGGGAAATATATGTTCGGACCATTTCCTATTACAGAAATCCGTTTTAGGTTTCGTGGCGTTGCCCCTTAACCCCATACCTATGGGCGCTGCCCCCGAACCCCCATATACCCGAGTTCACATTTAACATTCTGAATGTGCACATAGCACCTCTAGGTTCGGATAGTGGATAGTAAACTGAACGCAGCATGTCTCGATAGTAATTATAATTACACTAAAATATGTTGATAACACTAAATCACCAACATTTATCCCCCATTTTAGTTTAATCATTTATTAACTAAAAACAAACTCATGCATAAATGAAAATATCTTAAAGATTGAATTTTCACATTAGTATAATACACATTTCAAATACTCGAGAATCAGTGTAACACCCGGAATCCAGAAGACCAAGAAAGGAAAGAAAACCCTAAATCAAGAAGGCTACTCGTCGAGTCCAGGGAGGAACTCGACGAGTAGAGGTGGATTTTGGGTCGCGGGTTAAGTGATCTACTCGACGAGTTAGGGGACCAACTCGACGAGTAGGTCTGGGTTTGGGAAACCCTAATTTCGGGCTTATGTACCATATTTAAGCATCTCATTCTCTACCCCTTGGCCTCATTTACAGCCTACATTGCCCCAAACCCTAATCCACGAAACCCTGGTGCATCCTTGAGCTTGTGAGCTTGTTTTTGAGAGTTTAGTGTGTGTTTGGAGCTTGTGAAGAAGAGAGGAAGCTTAGAGATTCAGAAGGAAGCTAGTGGATCTAGCAACACCATCTCATTTCCATCATTCTCTGGTAATCAAGTCTTCATCTTGGCTTATAGTTTCTTAGATTTATTTATGCCCATTTCATGAGAGTTTTGGTCCATGGAGCTTGATCTATGGGACAAGGACGTCCCAAGCAAGATCCTTTTAGATCTGGAATCCCTAAGGGTGGTTAAGGCATAAAGGTGCAAGCTTTATGCCATTAGAAACCCCCATGCAAGCTTTAAGGAGTTGTTATGGCCTTTTGAGCCAAAAAGGGTCATGCATGGATGAAAAGAAAGAGGCTTTACGTGTTTGTTGGGTGTCTAGGGTCTAGATCTTGGTTCTCCTGTTGTGGATTGGAGTAATAAGGGTTTTGGACAAAGATTCATGCCTTAAGGAGCTAGGGTTTTGAGCTAAACCCATTAAGAAGGACTTGGGATGGGTAAAGTTGGAAACTTTACCCTTAATAGATCATTTCCAGCATGTAGACGAAGTTTGGGACTTAGATCTGAAGTATAGGGGCTTAATCCATTAAGATAGCCCAAACAGACAGAGAAACTCGCCGAGTCCAAGAAAGGACTCGACGAGTCTGGGGATGACTCGACGAGTTGACTCGGGTTATCACGAATCTGAATAGCATAGAACTCGACGAGTTGAAGGAGCAACTCGACGAGTTGAGTCAACTCGGAGCGTTGACTTTGACTTTGACCAAGGTTGACCTAGTTGGACTGTTAAGGATTTTGGGAATGAGTGTCATTTTGGTATTGGTAGCTCGGGAAGCCAGAGGAGCAGCAGTTCGGGGAATTGCCAGTTAGCAGCCAGAGGAGTTTCAGCAGGGCTTCAGCAGTGCAAGGTGAGTCTCCTCATTGTGTGCATGGGTTTACGGCCACAATGTCGGCCCATTATGTTTGTGTATAGTAGGAAGACCCAGGGGTTAGCCCTAGACATTTTTACGATATATGTTCCGGATTACGATCCGATGTCGGGCGAGGCCCGAGGTATGTTAGTATGATAGAGGTCTTTGTGATTCTTGCATGTGTCGGTAGTATGTTTCCGGACTAGGGTCCGATGCCGGGGTAAGCCCGAGGAATGTTATATGTTGCATAGTATATTATACTTGTTGTCTTTGTGATACATGTATATGCCTGGTAAGGAGGTGAGTGTGGGCGAGGTCCCGTATCTTACCACTAGCTGAGTACGGATGGGGTTCTGTATCTCATTATTAGCAGAACAGGGGCGGGGCCTGGGATAGGAGAAATGTGAGTGTAGGCGGGGGCCCGTATCTCACCATTAGCAGGAGTATGGACGGGGTTCCATGACTCTTCAGTAGCAGGATAGGGGCAAGGCCCAAGATAGGCGAGGCCTTAGAACAGGAATACAGTAGTGTATGTTTACTTTATGTGCTAGTATGTTTATGTGATTGTATAAGTACAGTGGGCGGGGCCCGGAGACAGGTGAGGCCTAAGGGAAACATATATGTATACCGAACGGGGCTCGATGTCAGGCGGGGCCTGGTGTCGGGCGGGGCCCGATGCCGAAGCGAGTCCGTTGTCGGGGAAGTCCCGATGCAGTGGGTGGGGCCCAGTATGTGGTTATGTGTATGGTATGTGGTAGGTTGGGGAAATCACTACGCTTCATGCTTACGGTTTTCAGTTTTGGTTTCAGGTACATCCGATAGCGGAGGGAAGAGCTCGGGATGACTGCATCGCACACACCATGATATTTAGCATGGGATGTTTTACTCTAATGTAATGAATATGTGTTTTGAAAAGATACTCTTATTTGATAACTATGGTTTATTAATGAATTAAAATGAAAATTTTTGTCTTGATTTTTGGGATGTTACAATCAGTGTCCTAAGGATTGAACATTTCAACTCATTTGAGTAACTGAATATATTATACATATACGTTTTACACAAATTCTAATATTTCATACTTGACACTATTACAGCCATGTGTGTCACACCCCCAAACCAGAACGGCGGAAACGTCTGGGGGTGGATGACTTCAAGTAAAGTATCATAACAATTGAATGGTAGCGATCAAAGCATTACAACCATTGTATTGAATATTGTCACACCCCCGAACCAGACGGCGGAAACGTCTGAGGGCTCGTGTGACTATAAATTGAAATATCATCACAATGAATATACATGAAACATAACACAATCGTCACCAACATTACATAATACAACTGGCATTGTTCACATCAAGTACATTGTTTTACATTACATAATTCAAAAGCATAAATTGTACGATGATTGACATTTGCATAAAAGTAATCTCAAAATACTCTTGACGGTTCTTCAGCTTATCGATTACCTGAGAATACAAGTTATTTTGAAAATGGTCAACA